CAATTATCAATAACAAATAAGCTGCATATATCATTTATCAATTATCAATGATAAATAGGATGCATATATTATTATGAATACATGTAGCGTATTGTGATACCGTAAAAGTATTGTTAAATTATTATTATTTAGACTTGATGATTAATTAATAATGTGAAATATATGAATAAGATTATAAATGAATAAAATATTATACTTATTATACAAAATATTGTTATTGCCATGTACAATATTATAATTATAATAATAATTTTATATTATTATTATTATTATGTATATTGTTTATATTGTTTAAGTTGTTCATTAGAATAGTTTTTATTATTATCAATAATAGTTATGTAGTGTGAGTACTAACTTTTGGTTAAAATGTCAAAATATCAGCTGTCTTTTGTTTACAACAACTGCAATTGTAGTTCATCATTTGTCATTTAATGGTGCTAAAAGAGGCATATCCTCAGTTCTAAATCCTATGTTTGAATCGTGGGGAATTCATCGTGATCATCAACAACCATGTAATGGTGTATCAAGAGAAGATGATAATGTGTTGATTCACCAATCAGACGAGGTTGAAGGTGTGATGATATTTCATTAGATCAATTAAAAAATACCATTATCTTACACAAATCCATATTTGAAGTTATATGTTATGATGTTGGGCGTATGTATTTTAAATTTATTACAAACCTAATCAATGCGGAATATTGGATTGTTGGTGATCCATCACACAATTGTGCGTACTGTGGAACATTGTTTTGGTATGAAGAAAGAATTGTACGAAGTTCTTCGAAAAAAAATCCGAAGTATTCTCTGTGTTGCACTCAAGGGAAAATTAAACTGCCACGGTTAAAGGATGCCCCATTGGAACTACAGCAGTTCATTCATGGTACAGATGCAGTTTCTAAGCACTTTCACGATAATATTCGTTCATATAACAACATGTTTTCGTTCACTTCCATGGGAGGAAGAGTAGATAGAACAGTGAACAAGAGTGGATCACCCCCAATCTTTAAGCTAGGTGGTCAAAAATATCATCTCATTGGGAGTTTGCTACCCCGGGAAGAAAGTGTACTGAAATTTGCACAACTATATATATGACACCCAACATGAAGATGCTAATCGTTTGAGCTCAGTGAGGTAATTTTGTAACCTTAAACTCATAAGCATGTGTAATCATGCACACATGCATGTTAATTGTTACACGACTCAGAAATCACATCCTAGGGGCAAAAATTATGGGTGGAAAATACGTTGGGCATGAGGTTATCATTACGAGGTTAAGCTTAACTCCTTCAGATTCAAGAATATCGTTCAAGTTTCAGAGAAGACAATTTCCAGGTATGACCTCTTATGCGATGACTATAAATAAGAGTCAGGGACAATCTTTGTCTCAGGTTGGACTTTTATTGAAAAAGTCGGTCTTCACGCATGGTCAACTATATGTTGCAGTGTCAAGAGTAACAAATCCTAAGGGTTTGAAGATATTGATCTGCAGTGAAGATGACCAACCAACTGACCATACCACCAATGTAGTTTATAAGGAAGTTTTTCGCAATGTGTAGATTGTGAAACCTTATGTAACGTTGCATTTTTTCTACTTATTCCAAAACATACTTATTATATCTCTCTGAATTTTCAGTATCCGATCTTTAATTATAATTTATTATGCATATTACGTATGTTACATTTTAATATCTCGTGCATCGCGCGGGTGAGAATCTAGTTGGCACAAAGGTAGTACGTCTGTACGTATACTTTATTACGGAGTAACATAATTTTTTTAAATTTTTCGAAATATCTTTATTTAATCAATACACTTTATTGAAAAGTTGAAAACTGCAAGGTACTTGTTTTATGAGAACAAAAAAATCACAAAGAATGTTTTTATAGTTCATTACTCTCTCTGTATATCTTTTAAATTAAATCATCACTTGTATAAAAACATTTCAATATCGTATCCCTGAATGATGTTAATACTCCGTATTTTTTATTTTTATTTCTTCCAAAAATTACTAGTTGGCCTTAAGGCTTTAGATGTCTTAAATTTTTTTTAAATTTCACCGGCACATGAATTATGAAATAATAATGTGTAGTTCAAGTTCATGTAGATAATAGAAAAAACTCCCTCATAATAACTACATTACTTTAAAAACTTCAATTTTTGTGTGACAACTAAACCCCAAAAGTTACCAAATAGTTTAAGGGGAAGTAGTGTGTCTTTTTCTTTTCTTTAAAGGATTATGATCGTTCTGTGCTTTACTATTTATTTGTCATTTAAATAAATGTAAACTTTTTTGAGAAATCCCCCATCATGAGACATGAGTGGTGTCTCATGTCTCAAAACTGCATCATAATCTATGTTTAATTGACATTCATGTAAATTACATATTTATTTATGTGTTTTTAATTAGTTTTGATTGATTATTACTTTGGAAATTACACACTTTTAGTGTAATAGTTTAAGTTGTAAAAATGTTTGTAATTTGTTTAGATTAGGTTTGTACTGAGCTCAAACAGGTCCAAGATCACTCTAGGGACCATTGATGAACAACACAAATGGAAGGAAGATGCAAAAATCTCAAGATTCTGATTTTTGGTGTTGTACCCGGTCGGGTATGACCTATACCCGATCGGGTACCTTGTTGAAAAATCAAATCGGATCGGATCCGGGACAAGGCAACATGCAGGGGAGATTTTGGCACGATCGAGTGTTCATACCCGATCGGGTGGCCGACATACCCGATCGGGTATAACACAGTTTTCTATACTTCCGCGAAGCAACCAAGTACCCGATCGAGTGCCCTTACAGCCCGATCGGGTACAAGACCCTGCAAGCCCAAAAAGCCTATAAATACCCCATTTCCTTCCCACAAAGATCACCAATTCATATATACTTCTAAGCTCAGTCTAGAATAGTTCTTTCTTTATATTTTCTTCATGTTTAGTCTCCAAATGAGGAGCTAAACTCTTCCATCTTGGTTTTGCTACTTTGAAGCTTAATGAATTTGTAAGTTGTGAGTTATTCTCTTTAATTTTCTTCCTTGAATATTAATTCTTCCTTTAAATACTATTTCTATATCAATGTTGGGGAGTGTTACTAAGATGACAATTAGTTAACATCTTGACATTAGTTATAGTAATAGTTATTTCTTCCTCTATGTTAATATTGGGGAGTGTTACTAAGATGACAATTAGTTAACATCTTGATATTAACTATAGTAGGATTCATACTCTTTAATATTCTTCCTTGAGTATTAATTAATTCCTATTCATATTTCATATTAATATTTTGAACATTACTTAAAGGATCAACTAGTTTTGTTTCATATATTAATTATTACTAGAATCAATCGATTAATACGCTTGTTATTTATCCGGTTTCTTCAACGGTAGTAAACTTGGATTGTTAATGCATGCGTCTCATGAATAATAATCTAAGGGGAATTAATTATATTGATTAAACCAATAAACCGCTTGTGTAGAGGTTATCAATCTCAATCGTTTTCATCTTAAGTTTATTGCTACTATCGGCCAATATACGACGCTTGTTCTATATTAACTCGGTAGTAAGTTTTATTAATGAGCGCTTCTCGTTATTAATAACTACCCTCGATGAACTGGATATACTCCTCGATTGAGTATTCGAGAGGAAGATAGTTAAAGATATAACCGGGATCGACGAACATTTCATTAAGTGGATTAAAGCAAAACCAAGTCCTCATCTCATTAAATTAAACTCATATAGGTTGTTTATCTTAGTGTTAATTAAATTCAATCAAATCAAACTTAAAACCCCCCTTGTTACTATTGATAAAAGAGAAAAGTATTCCTTTCCCTGTGGATACGAACCTTACTTCACTATACTACGTATTAGTGTTGTATTGATTAATTATTTTGAGTGCACCTCACGAGAAGTGCACGTCATTAATATCGATACATTTGGGAAGCATATTAGATTAAGGACGTTTTTGTTGGAAAATTGTATTAAAAATTGCATTAAATGACTATTTTCGGGCAGTATTTTGAGCGGGGCTCACTTCCGATTTGGATCGGGTCAAAGTGGTTTCGAATTCTCCTTTGTAAGAGGTTCGATTCGATATGTGGTACACTCAAAATGAATAATGGGTGAATTAGAAATAGATTCTTGAAGTTCACTTGTTGAGATGGAGAAGTTGGAAATTTTCGAAGGTAGAACTAAACGTAGAACTACCGTCGGCCTCTCCTCGAACTGCTAGAGTTTCAAACATTTCCTAATAGTTAGAAACTGAAAAACCATTACAACACAATAACTGTGTGTTTAATGGGCGGTATCACACAATAAGTGTGGTGTTGAAAGCATATTTAATACAAAGGCTCCTCCTCCCCTATAAAAGCTTGGCATCAGATTTTGGATTCACAACAGATTGAGTACACACAATTTGAGTACCACTGATCACACAAAAATACTAGTTGCATAGTCTTCTCAAAAGAAAAACTCTGCCAAACTTCTGACAAAACTTCCCGAGTTTTACCCTTTGTTCCAGTTCTCCGGAACAACCTATTGAGTGCTCAATACGGTTGTTCGTTAGTCATCGTATCATGGGAAACTGACACTGTAACACCGCCCACAAGTATTTATACTTTATCAAATTACGTATCGAACCCTGAGAAATGTATAAAAGCATTTTTACGTGATTGTAAATTTTTATCATTTCTTTTACGTGATTAGTAAAATTCACGTGGGGCCCACACCGGAGGTGGGGGCCGCCCGATATTATCGGGACCACATATTATATTAATCTTTGACTAGATAATATGTATATGGTGGTGGATATCCTAATTGGGCCATGGCAATGGCATAGAGTTGACCGGTTGGTCAAACGGGGCCAAATTATCGGTATCGGCAATTTATCAAATAACAGCCCAAAAAGGGATTCCGGAGACTTCTAAATTAAAGTTGAGGAATGAATATTCATTCTAAGGTCCAATAAAGATTGGGAGCAAGTGTTATATTTTATTTGACCCGATAAAATAAATTATAATTGAAACAGTCCGGAAAATACAACTTTCGGGACCGATTGTACATTCGGGTACACAAAGGGTTGATCTCCCACATAAGTGGGGGCCAACCCACGTTATTAGGCTTTCAAATGAAGGAGGGAGCCGCATCATGGGGCTGGAAAAGGTTGGGAAGTGATTGGGGGACAAATATGTAAGTTGAGGGGACCCCCCCCCATATTATTTGGGGAATAAGCCAAAAGGGCCATCTCCCTCACCCCACAACTGGTACATCTCGGCCAACCTACTCAAAGAGGAGAAAGAAGGTCTGCAAAACTTGATTGTTACCATCCATACACGCACCAAGAACAAAGGAGGAAGAAGGAGGGGAAAAGAGAAGAGAAAAGTTGGCTTTGGAGAGGAAAACTTGTGTTACAGAAGGTAATGACTCCATTAATCCCATTTCTTGTTATTCAATCCTCTTATATGATTATTCAATCATATTTCACACCCTAGGATTGTTCTACACGTTTGGAAGTGTAGAATGAGGGGTTGGAAGGTGGTTTTAAGCCCAAGAATGGACTTAGAAGCCAAAGTGACCGGTTCGCCGGAAAATAACCTTTTGGAGGTTATTTGTATTACTATGGGTTTTATGATGATAAAACCTTGTTAGTAACTTGTCTAAGGTATTCAAGGAACTTTCACGGAGTTGAAAGGGTCGCCAAAGTGGTCGCTGGAGTTCGTTGGAGTTCGCCCGAGTTTCGCCGGAGCTAAATCGGGAAGGCTAGAACTTCATAAGCTTCATTAAGGTGAGAAGACGGCTTTATGCTTTATAACTTTTGCGTGAGGCATGAGATTACCTAAATTAATCAAAAACATGTTTTATGGAATGATTAAGAATAATCAAGTGTTTGCTTATGCCATGATTTTGCATAAAGCATAGTTGAAAAGCATGTTATGTAGGTTTGGTGATTAAAAATGTGATAACTTATTATGTGTGGTGTTCCAGGGATCCAAAATGGTATTTTTGGATCAAGGACGTCAAGAAGTATAAGTGTATAAAATTTAACGTTAATCGGACTTCGTTTGGGCGGCCAAACGAGCGTTGACCTCCAAGACGAAGGTGATACCCAACCGGGTATTGGTAAATACCCGACCGGGTTTTGATTAAAAATGGCTCCAGAAGCCACTGCCACACTAGACTCGACCGGGTATGGGTATAGACCCGACCGGGTCTCAAGTAAAGTTGGCTCCAGGGGCTACTGCCTCACCCTACCCGACCGGGTAAGGTTGGATACCCGACCGGGTATTGGTTTATACTCAGAACGGGCAGTTTTGAGTAGGTTAACGTGGGCCATTCGGGTGGGACCCACCCACGTTGGATCCTAAGGATTGTTATATGACTATAGGGCTAGGCATTGTCCATAGTTGAAGAAATGAAAGGTTACCCATATCCAGGTTAGGATTTGGTAGAGGATAGACTGGGGATTGAGTGCCCTTGGACGGTAAATGATCTAGAATACTCCAGGTGGGGTCGAGTACCCTTTGACGGTAAATGATCCAGAATACTCCAGGTGGGGTCGAGTACCCTTGGACGGTAAATGATCCAGAATACTCCAGGTGGGGCCGAGTACCCTTTGACGGTAAATGATCCAGAATACTCCAGGTGGGGCCGAGTACCCTTGGACGGTAAATGATCTGAAATACTCCAGGTTGGGTTAAGTGCCTTGGTCGGTAAATGATCCTAAAACACTCGGTAGTATGAAACGAAGGTAGACTATAGCTTGTTAGCTAGGCAACCGGGAAAGGAGTGAGAAAAGTCAGGTAAGAACTTTATCTCTAAAAGTCTCTTTAAGGTAAATGACCTAAGGGTTGAGTATTTTACGAGTATATATACAGTATGTATCATCGGGTGGATGAGAGACATCTATATATATGTATCACCCTATTTTTGGGTCTCGTGTCTGAAACATTAGTTATTCTTCATATAGCCTGCTTGTCACTAGTACTTCTATGGAGTACTTACCCCTCCGGGGGCCCTCACATTTTTCAGGTTGAGGCTAGAGTCCTACTACCTGCACCTTTGCCTAAGATGATCATTCGAGGAGGAAGACGTGGTTCGTGCTTCCATTCGTATTTTTGAAATTATGAACTGCTCATGGATTTTTGAACAATGTTTTCATTAAAATAGTTGGGGGCCTGCGTGCCCGTGTTTGCCACGTGTGGCTAAGTATCAAACATATTAATATTTCCGCATTTGTTTGATTATGATATTGATGTTGATTGTATGTGTTTACTAATCGGTTTGGCAATAGAATCAACCGGACGCCTTGTACAATTCAATAGGGATGAACTGTTGTTGTTCTTATTGGGTTGTACGGCGGTTGTCTACGTGGCTCGTATGCGGTCCGGGGCGTGACAATTAAGTGGTATTAGAGCCATCGATTTCTAAACTATATAATTAACCTCTCAATATGGTTATCCTCAAAAAGTTTTGAATAAAACCATGAGAAACATTTTTTTTGTACTCAAGGAACCGTTGGAAACCAAGTTATTGACCTCTTATTGTTAAGACGGTACCCTTAACAGTTTGTTGGCCATAATGTTGGACCAAGTGGTGTCTTTTGTACCAATCCATCAATTGACATTGAAACGAGTCTAATGACTCATTCCTTATTTCTTTCAGAAATGGAGGGTGGACGCAGGATAACTAGGAGGAACCCGATAGGGCATGTGCCGGGGGCCACCGGGCATGCCACTCGGGCGGAATCACGGACCTCTAGGGGTAGAGGCCGGGGCCAAAGCCGAGGAGGAGGCCGAGGCAGGGGTCGTGGGCGTTCTACAATGCCGACGGCAAGTAGCACGCGTGTCGGTTCTGTGCACCCATCTTGGGCCACCGAACCGGACGATTCCACATATGTCCAAGCACGGAGCAAGAGGAGACCCCGTACAACGGGGAAGACTTTGAGGAAGAAGATGAGGATGATCCCCATTATGACCACATGAGTGAGGTACTAGAATGGTACCTCGAGAATAAGGAAAAGAGAGAGCACCGGCGCCAAGCTAGACAGGCTAGGCAAGCCATGGGTCAGGGAAGCCGAGGTGTTTTTAGTGCTCCATCGGGGGCATTTGGGGGAGACATGATGGTGCGTATCTCCAAGTACCTCAAGGAGGCCAGGGCCTTGGGGTGCAAATCATTTGATGGCAAGGGCGACATATCTGAGGCCGCCGACTGGATTAAGAAGCTGAATGATGCTTCTAGGGATATGCAAATTGGACTCGACGTGAAGTTGAGGGTTGCCACCAGGCTACTGGAAGGGGTAGCTGTTGTATGGTGGGAAGGCGTGGAAGGAAAGTTCCACGGTGAGGCCACTTGGGAGAAATTCGAAGTGGAGTTTTATAATCAGTACTACTCAACTTTTGAAGTCAATCTCAAAAGGAGAGAGTACACAAACCTGAAACAGGAGGATGGTTGCTCGGTGAGGCAATTGGAACAGAGGTTCGGTGACTTGGCACGATTCATCCCAGAATACTCTTTGGATGAAAATCGTATGGCCAATCACTTTTGGGATGCTCTACAATTGGACATCCGTGACCGGGCTACTTACCATCACAACATGACATTTAGCCATATTGTCGATCAGGGGCTCCTTGGGGAAGCCCAATGGAACGAAAGGAAGTTGAGGGACGCCGAGGAGGTGAAGAAGAGAAGATGGGGAAACTCTGGACCCCAAGACCACTCCCGGAAGCATCACGCTGGGGGTGGAAATTCATTCAGGGTGCCGGCACCACCGGCGAAAAGGAATAAGGCCTCGGGAGGGCAAGGGGCCAAACCAGGGAGTACGTGGTCACCGAGGTGCGCGAATTGCGGCAAGAACCATGCGGGGAAGTGCAATGAACCACCCCGGTGTTACAAGTGTGGTAGCACGAGCCACCTGAAATCCTCTTGCCCAATGTTGAATGGAGGCGGTCCATCGGGGGCCATTGAGGGACCTACGGCTAGTAGGGGACGTGCGGGACCGTCTCAGGCCGACACAGGAAGGGGAGGACCCACGGCTAGCAATGCCGCGTCCCTTAACCAAGGTAGAACCTAGACACGAGTGTATGCAATGACCGAGGAGGATGCGCGAGCAAACCCGGACTCCGTTGCAGGTAATGCACTAAACCTTGTATGTTTCTAGGCTTGTATTAAAGTTATAATTCCTAGGGGTCAGTTGCGAACAGACTTAGAGTCGAATCGGGAAAACTGAGCGAAACCAAGCTAATACCCGACCGGGTATAGTAGCTCACCCGACCGGGTATGCTGGGATTTTGGCCTGGTAAACTCACTGGAACAGATACCCGACCGGGTATAGTAGCTCACCCGACCGGGTATGCTGGGATTTTGGCCTGGTAAACTCACTGGAACAGACACCCGACCGGGTATAGTAGATTACCCGACCGGGTATGCTAAGTTTTCACACCCGCCGGTACTACCAGGTCGGGTAAAGGAGAAGAATCGTTTCTGGAACAGAGACCCGACCGGGTAGAGTAAGTTACCCGACCGGGTATGCCAAATTCATGTACCCGTCAGTCTTACAAGACCGGGTAGAGCAAGATAATTGCTTCTGGATTGGATACCCGACCGGGTATAGGGATGTACCCGACCGGGTATAGCAGTATGTCTTAAATACGGGCGTATCTCGTGGGCCTACGACTCAATTTTGGGTAGAAGGAGTATCTTACATGGCTTATAAATGTAGGAACACTAAAGATTAATGGAAAGGATGCGAGGATCCTTATCGATACAGGAGCGCAACGTTCATTCGTCAGTGAGGCGTTTGCCATGGGATTAGGCACACCTTTAATACCTATGACGCAAACCCTTTTGGTATCTACGCCTCTAGGGGATGAAGTTGAACGGAATGACTACTATCCTTCATGTGATGTGGGGATATGGGAGCACCGTCTAACGGGTGACTTCGTACTGTTAGACATGCTTGAGTTTGATGCCATACATGGCATGGACTGGCTTGAAAAGCACCATGCGAAGGTAGATTGCTACACCAAGGTGTTAGAACTAAAAGATGGAGAAGGAAATACTCTATGCTTCGAGGGAGATAGAGGGAAATTCAATCCTTGTATCATATCGGCCATAAGAGCAAGGCGTATGATGAGGAAAGGGTGTCAAGCGTACTTGGCCTATGTCATAGGCAAGGAAGGCAAGGGAAAGAGTCTCACTGAGGTGAGAGTGGTGAGTGAGTACCCAGAAGTTTTCCCTGAAGAACTCCCGGGACTCCCACCAGATCGAGAAATTGAGTTCACTATTGAAGTAGAACCCGGTACGAAACCCATCTCGATTCCTCCATATCGGATGGCACCGGCTGAACTTCAAGAGTTGAAGGTGCAATTGGAAGAATTACTGGACAGCGGATTCATCAGGCCGAGTCATTCACCGTGGGGAGCACCGGTACTCTTTGTAAAGAAGAAAGATGGTACACTTAGAATGTGTATCGATTACCGTCAGTTGAACAAGGTCACGATAAAGAATAAATACCATTTGCCAAGGATCGATGACTTGTTTGATCAACTACGGGGGGCAACCGTGTTCTCTAAGATTGACTTGAGGTCAGGCTACCATCAAATGAAGATCAAGGAGAGTGACATACCCAAAAGTGCATTCCGTACAAGGTATGGTCACTATAAATTTCTAGTAATGTCGTTTGGGCTTACGAACGCCCCCGCGGCATTCATGGACCTCATGAACCGAGTATTTCACCAATACTTAGACCAGTTCGTCATAGTGTTCATTGATGACAATTTGATATACTCCATGAATGAAGAGGAACACGAAAAACATCTAAGGCTTGTGCTTGAAACACTGCGGGAGAAGCAACTCTTTGCAAAATTCTCTAAATGTGAATTTTGGCTTGGGGAGATCGGTTTTCTCGGGCATGTGGTATCGGGCTCGGGCATTTCAGTTGATAACTCAATGATTGAGGCAGTCACTAATTGGGAGAGGCCCAAGAACGTGAAGGAGATAAGGAGTTTCCTCGTTTTAGCGGGGTATTACCGCAAATTCGTGGAAAAGTTCTCGGTGATAGCATCTCCACTCACGAAGCTCACTAAAAAGGGGGCTAAGTTTGTGTGGGATGACAAGTGTGAGAAGGGGTTTCTTGAGCTAAAGAAACGTTTGACCGAAGCACCAGTGCTTGCCTTGCCCGTGCAAGGGTTAGGGTATGACATCTACAACGATGCTAGCATTTCGGGACTGGGATGTGTACTGATTCAATCAGGGAAGGTAATTGCTTATGCTTCTCGGCAGTTGAGGAAGCATGAAGTAAACTACCCCACACATGATCTGGAGCTAGGGGCTGTGGTATTTGCACTGAAGATTTGGAGGCACTACCTCTACAGAGAGTTGTGTCACATCTATACTGACCACAAGAGCTTGAAGTATGTGTTCACTCAGAAAGAGTTGAACATGAGGCAGAGAAGATGGATGGAGTTGATTAAGGATTACAACTTGATCATTGACTATCATCCAGGCAAGGCTAATGTAGTAGCCGATGCATTGAGCAGGAAGAGCTCATCATCGGGGGTTTTACTCACATGCTTACGGGCACTGAGGGCACGCGTGGAGGTATCCACGGATGGGGCGCTATTGGCCAGATTTGAGGTGAGACCCACCTTGTTAGATGAAATCAGAACATGTCAAGGCAATGACGGGGAATGTCAGAAAATCCGGGAACGAATGCTTGTGGGGCCCGTCGAGGGTTTCCGTGAGAGAGAAGATGGACTTCTACTATTCAAGGAACGAGTGTGTGTGCCATCGGATGAGGAGCTCCGAAAATCTATCCTTGAGGAGGCTCACTCATCTGCGTATGCCATGCACCCGGGCGGTACAAAGATGTACCGGGACTTGAAAGAAAGTTACTGGTGGTCGGGGATGAAGAGAGAGATTTCAGAATACGTGAGCCGTTGCCTTACTTGTCAACAGGTTAAGGCAGAGCACCAACACCCAGCAGGGTTACTACAACCACTTACCATTCCAGAATGGAAGTGGGAGCATGTTACCATGGACTTCGTGGTGGGTCTACCACGGACGGTTAGGAACTACGACGCAGTATGGGTGGTAGTCGATAGGCTGACCAAAAGCGCTCATTTCCTACCTATCAACACTACCTATACGCTCGAGCGGTTGGCTAAATTGTACATAGATGAGATTGTGAGACTGCATGGGGTTCCGGTTACTATAGTATCGGATAGAGACCCACGGTTCACATCACGGTTTTGGCCTAAGTTCCAGGAATCCATGGGTACGAAATTCAGGTTTAGCACCGCGTTTCATCCTCAAACGGATGGGCAATCTGAACGGGTTATCCAGATCTTGGAGGACATGTTAAGGGCATGTGCCTTGGAGTTCCAGGGGAGTGGGACAATCAGTTGGCTTTAGTGGAATTCGCCTATAACAACAGTTATCAGGCGAGTATAGGCATGCCTCCATACGAAGCATTGTATGGGAGGAAATGCCGGACACCATTGTGTTGGGACGAGGTCGGCGAGGCTAAGCTCGAGGGCACCGAGTTAGTCGAGATCACAAAGGAGAAGATAAAAGTCATACAGGATAGGCTCAAGGCTGCCCAAGACCGGCAGAAGAGCTATGCTGATAAACATCGGAGGACGTTGGAGTTTGAGGTTGGTGATGAGGTATTTCTGAGGGTGTCACCTTGGAAAGGGATCATCAGGTTCCTCAGTCGGGGTAAGCTTAACCCACGTTACATAGGTCCGTTCAAAATCCTTGAAAGGATTGGGGTTGTAGCATACCGACTTCAGTTGACCCCAGAATTAGAAAAGATTCATAATGTATTTCATGTTTCTATGCTCAAGAAGTATGTGCGGGACCCGTCACATATTCTTGAGAAACCACCGGTGGAAATCCGAGAAGACCTACACTATACGGTGCAACCAGTGAAAATCATGGACCGACTGGTAAAGAAGCTAAGGAGCAAAGAGGTGCCGATGGTAAAAGTACTTTGGAAGAGTGATCGTATCGAGGAGCAAACTTGGGAAGTGGAGACCCTGATGAGGGAACAATATCCATTTCTGTTTGACTAGATTCGTGGATTTCGGGGACGAAATCCCAAATAAGGGGGGTAGAACTTGTAACACTGCCCCCAAGTATTTATACTTTATCAAATTACGTATCGAACCCTGAGAAATGTATAAAAGCATTTTTACGTGATTGTAAATTTTTATCATTTCTTTTACGTGAATAGTAAAATTCACGTGGGGCCCACACCGGAGGTGGGGGCCGCCCGATATTATCGGGACCACATATTATATTAATCTTGGACTAGATAATATGTATATGGTGGTGTATATCCTAATTGGGCCATGGCAATGGCATAGAGTTGACCGGTTGGTCAAACGGGGCCAAATTATCGGTATCGGCAATTTATCAGATAATAGCCCAAAAAGGGATTCCGGAGACTTCTAAATTAAAGTTGAGGAATGCATATTCATTCTAAGGTCCAATAAAGATTGGGAGCAAGTGTTATATTTTATTTGACCCAATAAAATAAATTATAATTGAAACAATCCAGAAAATACAACTTTCGGGACCGATTGTACATTCGGGTACACAAAGGGTTGACCTCCCACATAAGTGGGGGCCAACCCACGTTCTTAGGATTTCAGATGAAGGAGGGAGCCGCATCATGGGGCTGGAAAAGGTTGGGAAGTGATTGGGGGACAAATATGTAAGTTGAGGGGACCCCCCCCCCCCCCCCCCCCCTTATATTATTTGGGGAATAAGCCAAAAGGGCTATCTCCCTCACCCCACAACTGGTACATCTCGGCCAACCTACTCAAAGAGGAGAAAGAAGGTCTGCAAAACTTTATTGTTACCATCCATACACGCACCAAGAATAAAGGAGGAAGAAGGAGGGGAAAAGAGAAGAGAAAAGTTGGCTTTGGAGAGGAAAACTTGTGTTACACAAGGTAATGACTCCATTAATCCTATTTCTTGTTCTTCAATCCTCTTATATGATCATTCAATCATATTTCACACCCTAGGATTGTTCTACACGTTTGGAAGTGTAGAATGAGGGGTTGGAAGGTGGTTCTAAGTCCAAAAATGGACTTAGAAGCCAAAGTGACCGGTTCGCCGGAAAATAACCTTTTGGAGGTTATTTGTATTACTATGTGTTTTATGATGATAAAACCTTTTTAGTAACTTGTCTAAGGTATACAAGGAACTTTCACGGAGTTGAAAAGGTCTCCGGAGTTGTCGCCGGAGTTCGTTGGAGTTCGCCGGAGTTTCGTCGGAGCTAAATCGGGAAGGCTAGAACTTCATAAGCTTCATTAAGGTGAGAAGACGGCTTTATGCTTTATAACTTTTGCGTGAGGAATGAGATTACCTAAAGTAATCAAAAACATGTTTTATGGAATGATTAAGAATAATCAAGTGTTTGCTTATGCCATGATTTTGCATAAAACATAGTTGAAAAGCATGTTATGTAGATTTGGTGATTAAAAATGTGATAACTTATTATGTGTGGTGTTCCAGGGATCCAAAATGGTATTTTTGGATCAAGGACGTCAAGAAGTATAAGTGTATAAAAATTCACGTTAATCGGACTTCGTTTGGGCGGCCAAACGAGCGTTGACCGCCAAGACGAAGGTGATACCCGACCGGGTATGGGTAAATACCCGACCAGGTTTTGATTAAAAATGGCTCCAGAAGCCACTGCCACACTAGACCCGACCGGGTATGGGTATAGACCCGACCGGGTCGCAAGTAAAGTTGGCTCCAGGGGCTACTGCCTCACCCTAC